CATTCGTCTATGAGGTCGTTATAGACATCGGGCTGCTGTTGAAGCAATCTTGTAATTTTACCGCGATCTCGCGCGCCCAAAAAATCGCATTCCATGTTTTGTTGTCTTGAATAGTACATGGCTGCACGTCTCTGCACCTCGAGATCGACCGGAAGCACACCCGCCAACACCGGCAAAGCCTCAGTGCTAACCGTCCTATATGCCTTACACAAGAATATCAGTGCAAGTCGTTGGCCTTGTAACAGTTTGCGACGGACAGCGCCTACGGTCGCCCTATCGGCCCATACAGGTGCACCATAGCACATAGAACCTAAATAAGTAGCTCCGTATATGATCTTTAATGTATTAAATGATAGACCCCATGTCGCAGTTGATATCCTTGTCAATGCACAGAAACTCTTTTTAGACTTTTCATTAACTATTTTAATATGTTCGATAAATGAAAAGTTTCTTTCTAAAACCAATCCTAGATAACACACTGTGGTTTTATTTTTTACAGTAACATTATTAAATCTAATGCTCGGCGGTGATTTGAGGTTACCTTTTAAAAGTAGCTGGAAGGTTTTGTTAGGTGCAAAAGTTAAGCGATTACGTTCACCCCATTGAGATATCAAGTTCAAACATCTATTGGCTAATCTCTCAAGCCCCGCCCTAGTATCAGATTCCACCAGTAATAAGCCGTCATCAGCATACGCGTTCAGAGTACATCCGGATGGTATTGGTATCGCAAGAAAATCGTCGAAGCCGATATTCCACAAGTATGGACCTAGCACCGATCCCTGAGGACATCCCATTGTAAGCGCCTTCGACACAGAATGATGACCAAGTCTTAGTTTAGTTGTACCTTGTGAAAAGTACGAAGAGATAAGGGAATAAATATTTTTAAAGCACCCCCGTGATTTTAATTTCAGCAACAGCATGGGCCACCATGCGTTGTCGAAGGCGCCAGATATATCTAAGAAAATAGCCAGCACGTATTGAAATTTTGACCCTGTGACAAACTTTCTAACCGATATAACAGCGTCAGTTGTCGATTTACCCAACGTAAATCCAAATTGTCTATCATGAAATTTGACTCCACCTGGCAGAAGCCGGGGCACTACAAGACGTTCTAAAAGCTTTCCCAACGATGGTAACAATGTGATTGGTCGGTAGGATTTAGGATCATCCGGTGGCTTGTCGCCACTTTTTGGTATTATACGAATATTACCGCACCGCCATATACGAGGAAATATTCCTTCAGCAATGCAACGTTTAAAGACAGTGAAAATCGTGTCACCCGAAAGTTTACAAGCTTCTTTTATCATTTTGTTAGATATTTTATCATCGCCCGAAGCCTTGTTTAGCGGCAAGGATCTAATGATACCGAGAAATTCGTCTGAAGATGGTAAATCAGACATTGGAGATAGTGGTGGTTCGATGGCCCACTGCCTGATCTGTCGGTGATGATCAGTGTCGTTCTCCGGTCGATCGTCAGGTACGAGTGAGTCTAAAAGATATTCTGCTGTTTGTTCTACTCCTGTGGTATATCTGTTATTAATTTTGATGTTCTGTACGTATGCAAGGTCGATTGATCTATTTGCTTTAAATTCGTGATACAAAGGTGACCACGGGCCCTCTCTATCGAGTTTATCAACAAGTTTCTGAATTAAGTTTCCCTTGGATTTTTCCACAGCAGCTCTGTAGTGGGACCTGGCAACTCTAAGAGCAATGAGAGCATTGTTGTACAAATCTCCTGTTACGTTATGTTTTTTAATAGTGTTTAATTTTCTACGAGCTTTCCGGTAGCTTCTACGTAGTTCGGCTAATCTATCATTCCACCAATCACATCTACGAGTGTTAGTGATAGATCCGCGACCAATAGTTACATCAGCGCAGTATGTAAAAGTTTCTGATAGTATTTCTGCGCTTTCCTCAGCTGATAAACTACTGCGACTGAAGTCTTTGGTATGAGTTGCAAAGAGTGAACCAAACAAAGCCCAGTTCGCACCTTTAGTTTTATATCTAAAATTATAGGGAGCCTTTTGTGGATCCTGTGCAACCCTTGGTATGAATTCGTACACGATCAAGCGGTGATCACTACAGGATGCGTCCGGAAGGACACGCCATCCGGATATCGAGACGTCGCCGCGCGTAAGCGTCACGTCAATAGAAGACTCACCCATTGGGTTGCAAAAAGTTGGTGGTGCATCGGGGGTATTGTGAATAATAAGATTCATTTCCGCAATGAAATCTTCAACCGCACAACGTCGAACCGTGTCGGTTGAACGCAACTTGCCATACCATAATGAAGATGACGCATTGACATCAGCGCCAATGATAATTTTATGTCCCACGAGGAACTGCAAGACGTAACGTAAGTGATGTAAGTGAGGATCAATAGGATGTGAATATTGAAAATAGCAGCTCACTACGTAAACCTTACAGGTAGAGGATGAGATCTCAGCAACGGCGCAGTGTGACGTCATAAGATTACGCAAAGATGTTACCGTAAAATTAGAACTTGCAACATATATCCCAGCCTGCGAACGGCAGTCAAGCTGTACTACATTACGACGCAAGTGAGCGCTCTGATATTGTTCTTGTAAAAGGACAATGTCTAACTTTTGTTCTAAAATTAAACGGTCTAATTCTGATGTAGCTATTTTATCGTTATGAAGATTTAACTGGCCTATCGAAATATTATTCATTACTTAGTAAGTTACTCTTTAAACTTTTTTTTTTTTTTTTTTTTTTTTTTTTTTTTTTTTTTTTTAAACTAAGTTAAACTATTCAGTAATTGGTATTTAATATTAGCTGTTCCAGTTTTAATTTGTATGTGGCACAGTCGTATGAGCCGCATCGATGGTCAGATGGTTTTTTGAACCGCTTACACTGTGCGCACGTGGGCTTAAAATCTGGTGTGTCTTTATCTGGACAAGCTCGCGTTTCGTGTGCGGCGGCGCAATTAGCACAAGTAGGGGTTTTAATGGTGCAAAACTTTTGTACATGACCGAATTGCTGACAATTTAAGCAACGAACTACTTCTATATCGTCTATGAATCTACATGTGGCCCAGTCTATATAAAGTTTATCTTTTGTGTTGGCTAGATGTTTCCGAACTGCTGCCTCTAATTCTAAGCCTATCCATTGACGCCCATTTTCTAGTTTACGATGCCTAACAATTTTGGCTGACTTAATAAAATCGTTCTCACTTAATTTTAATTCGTCCTTGATATTCTGACGGTATAAGGCTGTTAGGAAGGCACGATCTTCCATAGAACCGGGTACGTCTTTTACAATTATACGGGGCCTACGGCCTTTCGGTTTTTCTAAGCGCAACCCTACTGATTTAATGGCGTCCACAGATTCCAGTTTCTTAAGCTGCCGTTCGTTAGCTACACGTAACACGACGCCTGCCTTAGAGGTTTTTTTAACGCCTACAATTTGAAATCCCTCATCGCTCGGTTTAATAGCCTTCATGAGAGCTTGTTTTGTTGCTGACGAGGTCGCATAGTCCGCTAGGCGTTCCGTAGTGGGATAGGCAATGACACAAGGCCTAGGAACGCGCGCTTCAGTAGGTACCGGGCACGGAGCAGATTTAGGTGGTAATCGAAGCTTAAGTTTGTCCGCGTACGTTAAACTCGTTTGTTGAGTTGCGATACCCTCCATTTGTCGCTCAAAATTCGCTAACTTCGTTTCGTTGCTAGAGGATTTTATTGCTAACAAAGATACGATACCGGTAATTCGTTGAGTAATATCCATAATCGCCGTTTTATTACCTACATTCATCCGAGATCCCTGATCATTAACTAATTCATTAATTTTTGCTAAGTAATCAGTGGCCTGTGATACTAAGTCACAGTAGTTGTACTCCCCACAGTTATCACGACCAGTAGGAGACGAAACATTACTACTTAAGTCCGAATTAATAACGCGCCTACGGCTACTGTCTTTCGGCGAGAAACCAGTAGGTGACATTTCGATAAATGTCCTTTTCCCGGTTGGTGTTAGAAATTCACTTGTACCGCCGGGGTCCGGCAACTCGCTAACGACCGACATAGCCAAACAAAGACACACCAAACAACAATTTCAAAAGGAACAGGTTTAAAAATAAATAACACGCAGAGAAAAATCAATATAAACAAAGGATACCTCCTACCCACTTTTAGAAAGAAAATAAATTTACTCACCAATAGTCGTAATAAAATAATTCAGCACTATATTACTGTTTAAAAACAATAAAAACTTACTGACTTTCTTTAAAACACTATACACAACCTTTAGCCGCCCGCAAGCCGAAAACTAGTCGCAGAAAAAACAGAAAACAATTTTAAATTGTTAGCACATGAAGTCACACGTTAGTCGCACGGTGCCGCGAAGGGGAGTTTATTATAGCACCATAGACAAAACTTAAACACATTGAAGTTAGTGTAACAAAATATGTGGCTTCTGACCTTTCTATGGTATAAATCAGTAAGTATTATTTCCCCATTAATTCTTATCTAAACAACTGGTACTGTTATGTATTCTGATCCAAACTAGGAAATAGTTTTCCTTAAATATTTACGAATAGTTAAATTATAATTAAGTTGTCGTTTCTTTTTATACATTCATTTTCCATTTTTTCAAAATGATTTGATCCTCTTCTTTAGTAAGCTTTACTTACTTTATATCAGCGTAAATGTTATCTAACTGTATTATTGACAAAAACCCAAGCCGTGCAAAGTGAAGCCATTAAAAAAATTTGCGATGTGGTATTAGTATTCTGTGCAGCAATCAGCTGATAATGACAAAAAGTAAGTTTAAATGACATGAGTTAGGTTATTTGCTATTTTCAATGTAAACACGCAGAAATTTATTTCTAATTACCTACAGATTGTTATAGATTGACAGTTATTTATTATTGAATCTAATTTACACGTTGCAAAATGTCGTACAATTGTTATCTTGACGCCAAAACGCCTAAAAATAGTTGGAAAATTACGACGTAATATTTGGTTTTTATACTGACGCTTATAATGTCGCAATCTGAAGCCATATTTCCTAATGGATGGGCTATCGACACTCCGCCTGACCTGAAGAACTCTACCGATAAAGATGTAAGTGGCCCCCTGCGATGTTGTTTGTCTCCTCGATAATGAGTCCCGTATATAACCTTATCACGCGCGATCCCACGATAGCATGTTATTCCTAATTCCAATTATCAAAATAACATTAATACTGTCATTATCTGTGTATTTATCATCTACGAAATTTTTTTTAACATTAAAAATTACGCAAGTAACTTAAAATCTTTGATATGAAAATTGAAAGTAGCTTGCATCCATAGTTACATTTTATAAGGTTTATTTAGCAGTACCAAATAATATTCATGATTTTTATTGATGACAAATATCACAGTAATTAGAAAGATAATTTTCTTAATTATATAGTCCCACCCAATTAAAAATGATAAATAAGTTAGTCAAAACTGTCATTCCCACACATACTAATATAATTTTAAAAAGATGTTGCTTACCTACTAAAATAAAGTTATGTCTCTGTGGTGATAAAAAACATAATAATTAAACATTTTAAATACTTCAATTAGCAACTGTCTTAGCAATGTATGAAAAAATTCATGTAACTGAGTGGTGGTTGATGACCTCGGGTCTTTCATTTTTATTTAAGATAATGATGATTTCATTATTAGACTACTTAAACAGAATTATCTTTGTTTGTTAAATAACAACATACGGATTGTTACTGCCATCACCTCAGAAATATTTGTGTCTTTAAGAAATATTGATTCTCGGACAGTATTCATTTTCCTATAGATTCAGTTTACAAAGTGTGTTAGTCCCACTATATATAATTTGAGAGTTGTGGGTTCAATTCCCCCCATGGGAGAATTCTGTGTGATCCACAAATTGTTGTTCTGAGTCTGAGTGTTCTTTGTGTCCATTTCCACAAATACAAAGAACACCCAGACTCAGTTGGGTGTTCTTTGTATATTTTTCATGTATGTTTGTAAAGTCCCCGGTGACACAGGATTTATTCCTAGTGTGGAAGTGGTAAAAAAAAAATCTCATCACACAATAATTGATGTAGGAAGGAATCTCTGACCTCTCATGACCTCTAGCTTAGCATTCAGGATCGCTAACCACTCGACCAACGGGCCCATATACCTAAATATGTTACAAATTTAAAACTAATATTAAAACTTTTTAGGGTACATGTTATTAAATGTTGTTAATACAACTATCTTTACATAGTCTATCTGAAACATGTACAACCATATAAAATAGATAGGTATTTATATAGTAAGATTTAAAAAAAATGCAATAAATTCTTAAGTTTTTGTGGCTAATATTAAAAATATATAGATTGTGTGTTGCCCTGATCTGAACGCTCACCCAAAAAATTTCAGCAGTATTAACATTAATAGTATATAACTTAACATGCAGATAGTGATACTTTAATAGTAATACAAACTTAGGCCTACTACAGCTTAGGCTAGACTATGACAGAAATTGAGTTCCTTCAGGGGACTTAGATATCTTTTCTACTGGTCTAGCTAAATTTAAAAAAAAATGTTTATACTCATACACTGAACACTGTTTAATTGTTGACATACCTACCTACCTGACATCTAAACATTAACTACTAGTCATTTACTCTACACTATAAATTTTTATATTATTTTTTATCTTCTAAGGCCATTTGTGGCCACTATTTGCAATTAATTATTTATGAAATGACCATGTTGTGGTCTCCTATAATTGAGAATGCACAACACATAAAATTTTAATTGCTGTAAAACTAGCATTTAAGGTGTATTTCTTGTTGGAGATCCAAATAAGTTAAATTAAAAATAAATTGAACACACATATTAGATGTCAAAGTAGATTCACCAGAATATTAATACTGAAATTTTATTGAAATAAATTTATCACATTAAGATATATTTAATGTAAATAATCAAGTAAGTACTTTTATTTTCATCTTTTATAATTTGCGTAATTTGCAATTCGCCATAATAAATTACGTGAAAAGGAACGTGTCAATATGCCATAGTGTGGGTATTGTTATTATTAAATAAATTAATGTTCGATTATTTTTAAATGCATTTAGAAGTACACATTGACAAGGGCGCAATTAATAAAATGGAAATCTGAAAAAACTGTTAATAGTTGTTGTTTTATTACTGTTTTATTCGATTATATGTGGCATACCACATATAATCGAATAAAAAAACTATAGCTCATTCCTGTAAAAAAATGGTCATATCGTTGTCCGCTGATCAAGCCCCGTCCCCCCGACCAATCAGGTGCCAAAAAAAATTATAAAGTCAAATTCACATTGACTGCAGGCTTTCGTAGGAAAGGATTGCGTTCTTTGAGTGTTTTAAAAATGTACCTATAGCTCGTTATGGATGGATGGAGTTCGTAAGAATAAAAGTGTATTATTAATTGGCAGTGAAGAAAAGCGAGTAATTTGTGTATTTTTTAACTACTTTAAAATGTATGACTTAAATGTAACTGTGGAGAGTGCAGTCATAAAAACAGAAAAGCTTGCGACGAGTATGAATATGATAGTAATAATAATTATAAAATTAATAAGGAACAAAAGGAAACTAACCCATTAAAATCGCCTGTGAAAAAATGAGTTCCCCTATCAACATTGACAAATTAGGTATATAAAAGTTTACTCAAAGAACCATAAAGCTTTGTTATTATCCTTTTTTTATTTCCAAACGAACATCTAAATTCAGATAGATATCTAAATCTATAAAAATATAAATTGTTATACAAATGAAAATTGCTTAAATTTTTACTAAACCCTGAGTACACCCTTACCCTCGATGCGTCAATATTTTCTTAACTCGAATGGACAAGACGATAGTCATTTTCTCCACGTCCCCGTACGACGTCTTGGGATCTAGAGATCAAGCGCACAGGGGTGGATGGCGATTATTACCATACCTACTCACTCGCGACCCGGGGAGAATCTTCGGGAGCACCATACAAATATGTTTGGTTATGAAATGTTTTACGTCTTCTCACTGATGACACTAAATCTGTCAGTGAAAATGAAAGTTAATCTCTAGATTACCTAGACCCACAGCAACACTGACCGACAGAAAAAAATGTTGTTTAAAGTATCGTGTAAACTTCTTCGTCTTGATGCATTTAGTAATAAGTTGTTATTATGACATAACAAACATACATCAATTTTATTTACTCGTATAGATAACTAATCATAGCTCAATAACGTCATCCACACCAAGTTATCAAACAAACATACCCATATGTTTACCCCTTCCGGGTAATCTAATCAGCATTAATCTTTTTTTTTAGCAAATAACAAACAGATATTTTATGGGTGCGTATATACTTAGATACGTTCTTATTTGTAGAAATACCTACAGCTACTGTTATTAATAATGACATAAACATTGTATAATTCTGGCAAAGGGCAAATGTATAAATACACGGAAGCCGCCTATTTTCTGCGTAGTTTTATGGTTTTCAACTGTAATGGTCAACAATTTAAGTCTTGTGATAAGTTCTTAGGTTATGATGTGATAGATTATTATTTTATATATGTGGACATCTCCTTATTTGTTAAAAATGTTTGAAAACATTTTAGCATCATTAAATGGTAATGTCTAATTATTACAAAAATATTGTTGCTAAAATAAATTGGTTTGTTTTTGTCCTTCACTGTGATGACCCTACACTATCAGTGGGACCCGTTACCCCCTAGTCAGTAGGCACGGATACTTATTATCTTACGGAATGAACGATCGCGACCTTTTACCCTGCTCACCCGCGATGCTTGCGTCCCCCGTCTACCGCTGATAACACAGCATATAAATTAACGGCTATTATTGCCTCGCTCATTGCTCGCTACTCCTTCATACTTAGTGCGCGCGCTATCCAACGTTCATCAGCCAATAGTTGACGCCTTTTGTTATTTTCGCGGTTGATTATTTATTTTGTTTTCACAGTCCTAATGGCTAAGTTTGCTAACAGTGGTTTTCTTTCTCCTTTTAACTAATTCAGTGTTACATTGTGAACTATTTGTGTGAACTAGACTCTTTTGAAGCATATCCTGAAGGATCTGCTATTTTCTAAAATTAACTGTGTCTCGAGCATACATGCATTTTTCGAACGAGCTCTTGCAAACAATGACAATTGCTTTAATGTTCCGAATCAACCCTATCTACTACTCGGACTACTCGGATACGATTTAGGTTTATACCTGAAACTCTTTCGGCGGAAAAGTTATTTCTGTCATTGGCTGTTTCAATTTGAATATTACAAGTTTGGAGTTTACCCAAAAGATATTACCTGACGAAGATTGTTCCTGACCTTTTCAGGAATTAATTGAATTTGTTGAAAACTATCGACATCACAATGGATATTGTGGCAAATGTAAGTAACAGTAATACAGTACAGTGATGAAATGAGTCCACCTCTTTATCTTACTTAACTCACTCAAGTTTCGTATGAGGGTCAAAGGGTATCTTATATTTGAATTGACGAAACCAAAATTCACAATCAATTTTTTTGCAGTACCACCCGGTGTTTAAAGCGTTCCTTGCCGGTTCATTCTCTGGGACCTTCAGTACTATACTATTCCAGCCTTTGGACTTAGTGAAGACTCGGCTACAGAACTCTAGCCAACATGTTGTTGCGGCGGCGGTCAAGTAAGTATTTAAATGATGAAATATCTTTCAATTATTACAAAGTTCAGGTAATTGACCTAACACCTCACTCGTCAGATCTTGATTAAATAACATTCATGAAATTTATCTTGTTACTACAAGCTTATATGTTAATACTTATATTTTTATTACTATCTTTAAATACCTACACTTATAAGTCTATACATTGACTGATAAAACAATTCAAAGTCATTAATAATGAAATGAATACAACTTTTTCAATGTTTTTTCGTACCTGTATAAATTCTCGCTGTTAGATAAATCAAAACAATAGTTTTACCTGTGCTCTTAATCAATCTTGTCCTCCATATTTACAGCAGTCGAATTCAACCCGGCATGATTACCATATTCTCAAATATAATTCGTCAAGAGCATATCATTGGATTATGGCGGGGCATGGTGCCTTCCATAGCGCGGTGCGTTCCTGGCGTGGGAATCTACTTCTCTTCGCTTCATTGGCTTAAAGCCAAGTCTGGCAAAACCACGGCGGATTTAGGAGCATTTGAAGCAATGATGCTGGGAGTAGTGGCCAGAACGATGAGTGGCGTTGCCTTGATACCTATAACTGTTATTAAAACTAGGTAAGTAGTATCTTAATAACATTAAGATAATGAAGAATTTGACAAAGATAAGTAAGGAATAAGGAGAAGTCAAATAAATAGGTTAGGAAATTCTTAAATTGATGGAATTGTAATATAGAAAAACCAACTTGCAATTGAATAGAAAGACAAAAAACTCAGCAAACTTATTGGCTCATGTCTCCATTTTTTCGTTTCAAAAGTTTCCACATGAAATATTGAATTTAAAAAGACTATCAATGTGAAGTGTGTTTTCAGAATAGATTCTGTCGTGTCCTACAGATTCTTATTTATAGATAGCCGACAATATTAATCCTTAGAAACCAGTAGTTTGTTTTATTATTTTCCTGGTAGACCTTCTTTACTTTCTCCATTACTTGATTATATTGATATACTAGCTGGTGCCCGCGACTTCGTTTGCGTGGAATTTAAAAACGCTGCCTTAGTAGGTTCGATTCCCAGCCTGGGCAAAATTTTATGGGGTTTTATATGACAGAAAACAGTTACTCCTTATGTAGACAGCTACTTCGTAGTAAAATATTATCATAATAGGTCCAACCGTTTGAAGATTACCAGGAACAAACAAACAGACAGATAGACAGACACACTGACAGACAAAAATATTTAAACTGGTTTTTAGCCATAAATATCGTACAAATAACCGTGTGAGCATGAAAAAACCTGTTGTTTTGACATTACATACACTTCAATTTTATTTATTAGTATAGATCTATACTATTGATAACTGTCAGTAGACTTGGCTTATCCTTATTTATCCAAGTATCTGCCACAGCTAATTAACTTATTTCCTTATATGCATTTGGAAATAATAAATAAAGTAATCGACTTGAATGATTATCCTTTGTTTTGTAAAGTGGGCATTACTTGTTTAAGTCATTGAACAATAGCTATTAGAATAACCTACGGCGCAATATGTCTATTACGGTCTTTATACAATGAGGTTTTTCATTAAAATGTAAATTAATGGAAAATTAAATCAAATAGGTACATGTCAAACAATTATAATCAGAAGTGCCGTAATGTATAATAAAATAGCTAAACAAGAATAAGATTTATTCCAAATTCAAATATTTAAACATACATAACAAAAAAAAATACATACAGTGGAACATATAACCTAATCCTTTTATGAAGTCGGTTAAAAATGGATTCTGACACTACTTTAGCCGTCATCATATTTAAAGGAAGTTCAAATTTAAAGATCATAAATATTTTTCTTTTTTTAGATATGAGTCTGGAGTGTACAAGTACAACAGCTTGGGTGGTGCGTTAAAGGCTATTTACAGAGCTGAAGGTTTGAGGGGTTTATCTTGCGGCCTGGGACCAACTTTAGCCAGGGATGCGCCCTTCTCTGGCCTGTACTTAATGTTCTATACTCAATCGAAGCAATCTATACCAAAAGGTTAGTTTTTAATACTTGTCTATTTTACCTACCATTTTCTACTTACTGCTTATTAGGTATGGTTTCATTGAACTCAATAAAATGTTATAGTACCTATTCAATTAGTAAACTTAACTGGTTCATGTAAAATTTGATTTGGTTCATGTCATCAATATTTTTGTAATTACCTATTTGTTTTTTTTTATTTTAAAACGTTATTTCAGTATCAATGAAATGATACATTTACAGTTATGAATATTGTTTTAAATGTGTTTTCCAACATAGTTTTCACTTTTAATGTATTTGGTAGTAATAATAACTAAATTAAATTGTATTAAATTTTAAATAACGAAACACAAGTTACTTATAATATAGTAAAATAAAAGCAATTTGCAAACTAAAATGTTAGATGATAATTATATCACAAAATCAGTATTAAAAAGCTTATGTATATGTATAAATATATATTAGATATACATATTTATGTACATACACCTATATCTTGGATAGCCCTGAACTTCTCGAATTATAGAAAGTCATCGGACAGTAAACTAATTACCTAAAATTTTCCTACATTTGTAGATATTTTTGTGATAAAATAATGATTCAAAACATACAAAATAATTTACAAGTCATATTTACGCTATTCAAATACGATAATAAAATATAGCGCCATGCCTACTTATTTGTGATAAGATACAAATTATCTTAATACGAGTATTGTTTAATTCAGAATTTGCCTTTTAATTATCATGTCTAATCAGCGATAATGTAATCGTTTTAAAACGTACACACTTGTTTGTTTGTCCCACAAAAGACTTTTATCTATATAAGAAAACGCACACAGGTACGAATGTGAAATTGGGAATACCTAAAATTAAAGTCTAAACGACTTGCAGAAAGCTAGATAAAGTTAAAAGGTGGCGGTTAAAGGGTTAACAGTACAAAAGTTCATATAATCATTGTTAAAATTATACTAGTTAATTAAAGCGTTGAAATGCGACTGCCAGGCTATCTCTACTATCTATATACCCATAATCATCATCATCATTGGATTATCCGTTCATAGGCATCAATTGTTTCTTTCTGTAAGTCGTTTAGTAATTAATTATCATACTAGTTTAGACTCTCTCATGTTGAATAAACTGAAAGGTGACAAGGATTTAGGACGGCTCCTTGTCAAGACCGTTTTCCTCTACAGCTACGGACCCCCTAATATATATAATATATATATATATGCTCATATATATATATAAATGTGGTTACCCTTTTCAAATATGTGATTACCCCTTTTTAAATATGTGTTTACCCTTAAACATTTAAATAATTTTTTAAACATTTTCTATCTATAGAATGGATGCAGACACCAAGTGCGGCAAGCATGGTACACTTTAGCTGCGGCATCGTCGCTGGTATAGCTGCTTCCTTGGCCACGAACCCGGCCGATGTACTCAAGACTAACATGCAACTGTACCCTGACAAGTTCCCCAACGCATATAATGCCGCCGTATATGTACATCAGGTAATTATATATCTATTTACATACTATTTTGTCCGTGTAGTGACGGATTAAGAATACGGAATGTCACTACCCCAATTCATCCCGTGGGTGTCGTAAGAGCCGACCAAGGGCTCAAAATAACGTAGGACACCAGCACTGCAAAAATAAGGCAAACTTGACACAAACCGTATACCAACCCGTCTGGCCAGCGTAGTATAGTAGCCCAAAACCTCCTTTCTAATTAGAGGCCTATGTCCAGCAGTGGACTATTAAAGGCTGTTGATATGATACATACGATTTAAATTATTAGCCATGAGATGGTTATACATAGGTCATGTATGGTCATATATGGACACATGTATTAATATTGGTTATTAATTAGGTGACGTGAAATAACGTTTGTTTGTATAGATAGATTTAATGTCTATTGATATATATATGTACGTAACGTTAAAGGTCTCATTCAAACAGGGAACTGTTTTAGTTATCACCGTGGTGCTGATTAGAAATTAGTATTATATGAACAGATTATTATTGTCATATTGTCATAACTAAACGTTTCCTGGGAGCTTTGTTCATTTGTATGACAAAAATAAATTGAAAATAATCATAAAACAACCAAGTTATTTAAAAGAAACACCTTGCGTGAAAATATATCCTTAAAATTTACAAATCCGCGATTTTAATTTTGTAATTTTCACATACCCAGTGTCACTCTCAAAATTATGTTAAAAAAAAAACTTTGACAGTGTTAGATTACCCAACTTTTCATCGATACAGCCTTATCTCAGTCCGATAAACGTGTTGCTACGACTTCAATAGCAACTTTCTTTATGTAATTGTGCCAATTAGGAATTTGGCACACCATTATCGCGGTAATCTGCTACGTGCAAAATGGTTTGAGAACGTCCGAATATGCTGCTTTGTTAGTGACATGAAAGTCGATAAATTTGTTTTGTAGATAAACGTGTGCAATAGATTTATGATAATTAATACTAATCGAAAATACCTACGTATAGAATTTCTTTTTATAACTACTGGTATCATAACTCTACATGTTTCACCTTTAACATATTATGCAAGTAGATATTTTATTTCGTCTTACATTTACAAATGTATTATATACTAAAACCGTCCGTGTGTCTAGGTTGGACTATTAGTAAAATTATCAGTCTATCTTCAGATTATCCCTAGCTGTACGGTTTTTTTTTGTTGCTACTTAATATAACAGAGGTTAAGTATTACAACACGACCATTTACGATTGCGATCTGAACGCTAGTTCGTTCATATTATTTTATTTATTTTTATTAGTTTAAATCGTATTGCATCGTCATCATCATCACTAATTTTTTTTTTATTTATTTTACTCACCTTATCTTTTGACGCTTTACTTTTCTCATAAAAGTAGTATTGGTATAATATATCTACTAATAAATATGGTGTCTTCTTGTTTCAGAAATACGGCATAAAGGGGTATTTCAAAGGCGCAGTACCTCGCATGTTACGCCGAACACTAATGGCTGCCATGGCCTGGACCGTATTCGAAGAAATTACCAGATCTATTGGCTTAAAATGAGATTTTGTGTCCAACTATTACTTTCATCGTGATATTTTGTAAATGACTAGAATATTTTTGGTATAATGTTCCTTGTTTTCGTATGAAAGGGGGTGTCCACTACTGAATGAATGTCTGATAAAACTTTATTCCAGGAGACGTGACATATTTGTTGAATGCTATTTAAAAGTAACGTTCATTTAAAATAATTAAATCTATATTACCACAACTTATACAATCAATACCTAACTTATTGGAGGATTATTTTGACTTGATGGTTTTTGCAGACCATAGATTCTTATGTTCAGTTCTCTCCATTTGATATTTTTTCCAGGTCAATCAAACATGAAATAATATTTATTTCTGCAAGTAAATCTTTTCAGATATTATTTTGAAATATAAGCAATAACTTTGTTTTTAACTGTCGACCGTGCAATTTACAACATTTAACACTTGTTTGTAATACAGCATATAACACTAATGTGCAGAGTTAGTGTCAACATTAACAGCAGTGGGAGTGAGACATGACTGTTATTTAGTAGTTTTCGTTCTGGTTTCCTTTTGATCGAATATTATTTACGTTTTAACATATTTAATTGTAACCTTTAGATATCTCTTCTTTAACTGTCGTGTATTCCATTCCTATGTTTTAAAATCTCCAATATTTTAGTCAATAGAAGGGTAGATCAACTAGTGTTTTGAGTATTATTGTTATTTCATTTATAGTGGTTGTAACATTTTTTTTTATAAATATTATATTTTATGTTCTAAATAAAAAATGAATCTATTTCTGTATTTTTCTTCTCTTTTGAACTTATTCATTGGTACTCTTTTTTATTTTTCTAAAGCAAATTCGTCATAGTATTTATTAAAACAGAAAGAAAGAACCGAAACAGTGGAATGCTTGAACACATTTGGATATATTCCTTTGAAACCGACTCTGACTGGCACTATGGCAAGGTGAAGAAATAAAGTTTATTCGTGACTTGTCATTGCATGAAGTCATTAGCGTATCCACAGTGGGGAAAGGTGGGGCGCTTGCTCCATCCTCCATCCTGACTTACACCCATTTTTGTTTGTGACGAAAATTTTAAAACATTTCATGAAGTACCGGTTCCATTGCAATACGGAAATTTAGTTTTGGGAGAATATTATTATGATAGAACAACAATTTTGGTGTATGGAAGAATTCTGTACTGAAGAAGACACAGCTAAAATTGAGCAAACTAAGAAAATTTTGATAACATTCAATTGTAGCCCCCTTCATTTGTGGATTTTGTTTTACTAAACACGCTGAATAAGGCAGGCAACTTAAACAAAACTAATATTTATTATCACTGGCAGTGGCATATGTGGAGCATGGGCAAAAAGATATACGGCATCATAAAAAGTAAACTTTTTTTATATCGGTAGTAGTTGGGGAACCAGGTGTAACCCAGAAAGGCAATCCCTGGTACCTACTCTGACGAACCCCGTGCCATCTACGGCTTACAGATGTCCCCCTCTCATATGTGCGGACCACGGTCCCTTTCGGCGTCGCGCCGCCACCCCGGCCTGCCCCTGTTAGAGTGACAGATGGCCTCACTTGTTACCCCCAGGCCCGCACTTATGGAAGACGGAGGCAAACTGTTGAACGCGTTGGCAATTTCCAAGGTCTCCACTTCGCCGAGTAACTACTTCCACCGCCAAAGCCCCCACCCTCAGCCCTCAGCGCATCTACGGTGGAGCGCCCCGGATGGAAACCATTCTCAAGAGGTGCACTCAATCACTCTTTTAAAGAGTTTGGTACACAATTCAGGAAACTGGCCCCGCTTACATAAAGTAAACCTGAAGATATTACCGAAGGATCGACTTTTGGAAATGTCGGAATATGTTAAATCTCGGTGCAACAGTAATAATATTAAAATCCAGAAATTATTAAATTACTGGCAACTGGCTGTATAATGATATTATCAAAACTCTCAATTTCTTCGGAGAACAGTACCCAGCTAATAACGTATCGGAGATTTGGCATAGCAAAATAAAATTTAAAAGAAACAGGATCTTTAGGAATGCCTAAAGAGCTTGTTTGACGGTAGTAGATTGATTAAATTTAGATTAGAATCTATGTCATTAGATGGAAAAGTTAGAAGTATACAGTAAAAGGAAAGGTAGGTACAGAGGAGAGGCCATAGCAGGAATAGGATAGTAAAGAATACCTGTAACTCTATAACCTTTAACCTCAATATTGATATACATATAAGGGTGTTTTCTATGTATATGTGTATGTATTTTCATCAAATTATCATTCTTATCTAAAAATGTATGTAAGTATTCTATCAGTCAATCTAGTTTTCATAGTATAAGATCTGCTTAGTTTGAAACTAGATGGCGTTGTGAGTCACATATCCGAAATATTACCAAGCTTATAATTATATATTAAGGATTTAAATTTTCAGGCTTCGCCCGCGTGTTTATCGGTTATTGCGGTAAAAAGTAGCCTATATCCTTCCTCAAGAATCAGTCTCTGAATGCCGAATTTTATTAAAATCGGTTCACCGGTTATTGATTTCACATACAAACTTCCACCCTCTTTTCGCATTTATAATATTACTACGGATTTATTACTTTGGAAATTAACGCGATCAATAGGTATATAATACCTATCGGTTACCTTTAAAACTATATTTAAAAGATAAAAAAATGCGGTGCCGATAAAAAAATAATAAACGTGTTTCAAACCATAATTTATCAAAATGGTTGACGATAAATGATAAAAAAACATACTTCAATTAAAACAGCAAAATAAATAATCTGTGTTTATTTTACATATGTACAGTTACGATTATATTTATAATTGTCTACTATCCTATCATATAAATTCCAGGCCCTCATACTTTTTATTTTCTACGAGTGTATCAGGCAATAACACATTTCCGTCAGTAGTAAATGCAGATATATAGGTAGAGGTTTGACCCTCGAACTCTGTGGTCTTTAAGGCGACAATGGCCTCGTCGCCCGTTCCTGGTATAAACTTGAACGAGGAGAAACCGAGTTTTGGCTCGAGCCTTGTTATCTGAAAAAAGTGTATATAGTATTATTATGATTATTTGACGATGATGTCAGACTTAACAACGTTATGATACGATACATATACTACACGTGTTTTTAACGAAATATCATTCGAAAGGATGGCAAAATTATTACAAGTTTTTGGTTGTAGATTTTTTTGACCCGTTTGGTTCTTTTGTTTTGTAAGCCTGTTGGATAAGTTGCCTTAAAGTCTTAAAATTAGTATTTAGTCGTCAGTATTTGGCTGACGTCACGAACAAGCTACGTACTACAAAATAACTTAACACAACTTAGTTCATCTAAAATAAGGACATTAACTGTTTATGGGACATTGGCATTAACTGATCATAATAAATAATATAACAATTTTTAGTTAATATGACAAAGAAAGTGCTACAATCTATATGTTTATATTAATTCTATAATCTTTTTTATGCTCTGGCAACACATCTTTTACTCATATATTTATGTGTAGCCAGTCAAAAAATTATTCTGTAAATAACTTGTGGGCCATTGATGTAATTAAATAATTAAAAAAATTGCTTGACTTTTATATATTTTGCGATACAATGCGAGAATTTACTGTAGCTATAATTGATAAAAGACGAACTAATTGGCACAGTAGGCACACCATTTGACTATATAGATAAGTTTATCGCACTATATTTTTAATAGTGCTCCTCATGTTTACATGAGAACGAAGTTTAGGTATCATCTAACTTTTATTCCATTTATGACCAAGAAATGTAACGTCTGCTATTTATTTATACACAACACAGACGATATTATAACGCTACGGTACAGATATATTCCTTATTAGAAATCCGTGATTTCGCGGTAGAAAATTTTAAATCACCATTCTGTTAAAAAAATATGTCTGTGGTCAATTCATCTAAGCTATATATTAGGTACAAGGATAGATATTACATTGTAATCCGAGCTAAATATGAAATAATAAGCCTTACTACAGTTCAATTGACTTAACACATTTAATGTGATCTGACAGAAATTACTGACAATTACATACAATATTCGGTTGGATTGACAATATCCAACCGTCAATCCATAATCGCTTATGAACTGTGAAACTGTGTAATTAGCTTAGATCAAGGGCAAATAGAATATTTTCCTTAAGTTTAAACAAAGATTTATCAAAGCATGTTTTACCAATATTTCAATCCCAAGCATTCAAGAAGAAAATGACCAAGATATGAGCTATGACCAGGTAGTAAGTTAACTGATAGAGGATCGTATCCTAATTAGAAATCGAATTCTGTTTGCTTGAATATCGTTAACTGGATAATTTCTTCGAATGAATTCAGCTCAAATGATCACAAGCTCGATATTTTTCATACTGATGTACCAAGAGATAATAGCTGATGCAATAAAAGTAGGTTCTCGAAAACTAAAATTAAGGAGTATTTCAGAGGGCTTGTGCCCTTTTTGGTTGACGAGGTGGGAAATCCTTCCGGATTTTTGTCTCCTTGGGACCCGAAACCACGCCTAACCACGCCCTATCCCGAAGGATGCTGCAAACTTCGCAACTGCAAAATCGCTTAGGAGGCTTATGGCCTAGACAACTTTCACTAATAAAGCAGAATATGATCCAGACTTTGTGGCAAATATTTCTATCGTCAATTAATATATGCCACAAAGGCTGGATCATCTGTTTAGTTTGACATCGTAGCTTATCAATAGAGTAGATATTAAATACACTCACCTCTTTAGCTTCAACAATTTTAAAGTCATCATCAGCAGTAATTAGGTAATTACATCCATTTACTTCATCTGTAGTTTCATTGTAAGCATCACGGCTACACCGCCGTGGTAAGAAATGCCACTGTCGTTTGATTGGTGACCATACACCAGATTCATGGATCATATACCCTGGCCAATTAATACCAATGGCTCTTCTTACAGCTTGATATTGGACTACCCACAATTGATGCTGCACCTGAAATATTAAACATCTTTTGTTTTAGTGAGTAAATACATACTGCATTAAACAGACTTCAGAAATGGTACGTTATTTCCATATGCTTAATGTTCATTTGCGTATATTGGAGACAATAGTTTCTTGAAGGTCATTTCTCATTATAAAAATTAGTTCAAAATTCAGTTCAGATTTGCTCTCGACTTAAAAATGTCATAAAAGGTATTCTAGTAAAGTATTAAACATCTAAGTTTGACTATAATGTGATTATATTATAGTATTATGAGCGAAAGTTGGATAGGTATTCTGTTAATCTCAGTAAATTTAATGGTTTTTTATTGCGAGAATTGATTTTCTGTTTACTATAGTTTTTGAATACTAGTTTTTTGTTCATTATTTAAATGTAACTTATCAAATGAAGATGCAATAATTTTGATAATTACTTCTTTATACATAATTATAATGTGTCAGTGAACTAATCTAAAGAAAATCTGACCTCTCCATTCATATTGATAACTTTGACCCACATGGGGTCATAACTCTGGAACTCTCCACCAGGTGTTGTCCACTCTTTCCCCATTGACCCTACATATAATAGGTTGTCTTTAAGTGTAACCCATTCTGACTTGAACCCTTTTATGGTATGACCGTTGCCGTCCATTAAAATTACCCATGGCACCACTTTATCATTTTCTATTATATAGACCTGAAAAATGAAATAATTGAAACATTAAATAAATATTCTTATTTTTTTTTATTAAATTAGATATTTTAATAAGGAAATAAAATAAATATTGAGGTTATCATAGAATAATAAAAAAAAACATGAGGGAATCTTTTTTTTTTAATATAACAAGAAAATCCTACTTGAAAAAAGTTGAACCGACAAACAGTACTAACAAAGATCACTGAAATAGGTTTTAAGTGATCTTTGTTAGTACTGTAGCAATTTAAGTTGATTTGCTGTCATTTTTTGAAGAGTCTGAAACTTATCATCAGATCTAGGTATATGAAATTTAAATGGGCCTATTTCAGAATAAACCTCTTTTGAACAAAAATAACTTTAGAGATCATCTATATATAGCAGAGTTATGGTAGAACATACATGAAAAAAAAAACTATTGAATTGATAACCTCAACCTTTTTTACACATCACACTCTGTTGTCTGATTCCAAACTAGACAGAGCCAGTACTATGGTAACCTCTATCTGCTCATAAACATACATACTTCTATACTCCTAAGTATGTCCATATTGTATAGATTGATAATTAAATCTAGAGTCACAGAGCTAATGTTCATGCATCATCACACAATTATATTCTCATGTGGGGGTGGAATCCACAACCTCTAGCTAACTAACCACTACCAACTGAACATAACTTGAAAATATTATATTTTCTATTTTAAGTAAATTAATTATTTATTTATATCTGTTCTATTTTAGGTGTATTTTGATTTTGAGTTTTAGCTGACCTTATTTTTTTTATTTTACAACTTCTGCTTTTGGATAAAATCTACAAGGATTTTACACAAATGTATAAATAAGGAAGTCTGCATTTAGAGTTCAAAATATTTTGTGGCATGTTGTCTATGCTTACAATATTCACAGAATACTTAAGACACAACATGACAGACATGTTATATATAGAATTAATATGAGAGACAAAGAACCATAAAACTTGCTTGTTAATAGATAATTATTTTTATGTCAGTCAGTTAAAGATGAAAATTATAATTTTAATACTTATTTATTCTAGTACAAAGAGGATCTGATACTGTATAGTGTTATTACCCAAATAATTAGCACTGTTTTGCTTTTTACATATTTGAAAGCACAAATTATGATTTTAATAAAGTATGTAAGTATTTAGGACATCTTATTAAATCAATGTCCAGCTACTCTTCTGAGATACCGACGACTGGATGGCGTAGTGGTTTGTGTAACGGACTGCTATTCCAAATGTCGCGGGTTCGATTCCCGCTCAAATCAAACATTTGTGTGCATGAACATTTGATGTTTGATTTGGTCTGGGTGTTTCTATGTATAATATGTATGTATTTACAAAAAAAAAAAGTATATATGTATTTATATCAGTTGTCTAGTACCCATAGTACAAGCTCTGCTTAGTTTGGGACTAGATGGCGTTGTGTGTATGTGGTAGAATATTATATATTATTATATACCTCACACTATTCAGACAAAATTTTAATTTACACATGTTTTAATTATTTAATATTGTTCTTGCTTCACTCCATTGTTTAACAAATATCAGTTTTATATTTAAGGCTGAGTGAGACAGCTGGCCACCATCATATAGTAGGCCAATCCTCCTTTCTAAGGAAAGGCCTAGGTTCAGCGGTAGACGATTAATGGCTGTTGATGTGATGTGTGATGTGAGACAGCATACTGAGAGGGATGGTAACACAGATTGAATGGTTGCTTTTGTACTTCTTATATAGCTGCTTGATCTGGCCTATACTGTTCATTTTAACTTATTAACAATACAATACATTACATGATTAAATTCTTACCAGACCGATAACTATTTATAAACCATACAAAAATTTTAAAACTACTTACCAAACCGGATCTGTCATCGAATGTGAGTAATCTGCCATCGTACACAATGAGTTCTGACAACTCCATCCCTCTACCCTTGTGTGAGTATGGTGATGTCAGCACAGTGGGTGGTTTAAGATCCCACTCTATAGATACAGACTGCTGTACAGGGTTATAATTAAGATAACCTTTCTTAAAGTAACTGATATATGTGTTTGATTTTGAAGGACTTTTAGAGTCTTTATCCAAGTCAGCTATAATACCAATTCTGTACTTGACAGCATCTCTTGCCACCAATGGTTGTGTTAGTGGGTATGTAGAATTGTAAGGCCTCTCTGTTCTGGCCCAACCCCGTACGCTCACCACTTGCGTGCTGGTCCACCAGTTGTAATAACATAGCACTATCAGGAATATTCCTATTAACACAATTAATAAAATGAATTGTGGCTGTACTCTGACGGCGTTGCCCACTCTGTACGTGGCTGGGGTCCGAAGAGCTTTACGCCAGTCACGGAAGGTACCTCTCATATTTCGGTCATCAAAACTGTAATACTCGTTCATAATAAATATAATTATATCATATTAACTCTGCCTAAGTATCATATATGTATTTGTATTATATACTTTTATAAGCATTTGACTAGTACATTTTATGAAATAGACTTGATTTATCACTCTTAAATATAAATATCACTTAAACTTGATTAAATTTCAGTAAATTAAGTCTAAAATTCTGAATTTACTAACAATATTCGGTATTCTAATTGATATATTGTAATGTTTAACAAGTCTCATTTTGAATGTAATCTGTTAAATTTTACATTTTATTGCTCATTTCAATTATTTCGCCAATGACTAATTGACACCCAATCACACACGAACACACATCATGTAAAACTGACACTGACAGTATTGACAATTGACATCTGAAATTTCGTCTGAAAATTGTTGAACAATGTAAAATTAGTATGTATTTACTGGCCGTGAAACTTGAGCATTAAAGCTATTTTTTTTATTTCATTTTTTTTCATTGTTTATATATATTAATATATTAGTGGCAGTCTATAAGAACTTTTGTTCAGTACACAAGTAATATTTATTTATTAAGTAAATAATGTGCAATGCAGTGTGTGTGATTAGCTGTTTGTGGTGGGTGTATAGTCAATATACTTCAAACTATTATGGTGAATGACATAATTTTAATTAACAAGAGTTGCATATATTATCTAATATACTCGTAAATGCACATTATTTATACAAATTATATTATAATATAAATCGGAATAATAGGAATGGAAATAATATTATTGCAGGTAACTGGTAAGAAAAAAATATGATTAAATAAAGTAACATGAACGAATAACAAAGACATTTAGAAACATCATGTTATATAACTTTGCTATTACTTATGATTTAGGCGCTAGCAAAATTATTGTAATGTTGAGGTATCGCCAAATTAACTTTTGATAAATTTGGCTCTGGGTAAATTTTGGGGTAACTATTTGAGCTTGTGCTATTTCCCGTTTTCAATCGCTGAGGCCTATTTGTTATCTAACTGCTGAATCAATCAAGTAAGAACACCTCTCAAACTGATCGTTTTGGTTCTTGAAAGTGAAGTGGTTCTTGGAGTGTGCTCTTGATAATTTTCATCAAAACCTTAAATTTTCATTAAGTTTTAAAGCAAGCATATAGCACTAAGTTTTAAAGAAGCAAGAAGAAAAGGTTTTATATCAGCAGCCGTATTCTTAATGTACAGGCAATACCTATAAATATGTAGTTGAATTAATTTGTATAATGATAAATACCAATTAAACTAGATGAAACAAGGTTAACATTATTTAGTAGGTTACTCAGTAGGTTTTTATGAAAAGTAGTGATAAGTATATACTTGACTTTCACTTGTATATGTTGATAAATATTATAAGGTTGTTGTCTAGCTGGATGACTCAGTGATTAGTCTAAAATAGTACTTAGAATAGTTTTTCACATGGCATTGAGAACAAACGTACAGACCAGAGGTTTCCTTATAGTAAAAAAAAATTTTCAAGAATACACGACTCTCTTTCGGTGCCCTCCCTCCCCCTCCATTATAAAGGGAAGGGAAGTGGGTTTAAATCGTCATCATCATCATCAACAGCCTTTCATAGTTCCCTGCTGGACACAGGCCTCTCCTTAGAAAGGAGATTTTGGCCTACTCTACCACGTTGGCCAGACGGGTTGGCATAGGTTTAAATACCAGCATACACTGGCGGTCTGCCCCGCATGGGCGACGCAGCGCCGGGCCCTCACTGCAGTCATCGGAGCAGATCTCTCGCTACCGGCCGTAATTCGCTCCATGGCCAGTAGCGACAGTTGTTTTACCGCGGTCGCAATCTTCTGCGAGGAGGTAATCTCGCAGAAGGAGGCGGCGGAGAAGGCCCGGGAGGACGACCTCCACTCGGACCCGATCCGCCGCCGGCGAACCGGGCGGCGGAGGCGCGCTTACCTGCGCCTCATGCCGCCCTGAGTGTGGCCGCGGGTGGACGGGATAGACGGGATAGATAAGACACGTAAACAAGATAGTCTGTAGACTTCTGAAGTAGGTATGGCAGATATAAGATTTCCACATTAGTCTTAGACTATATAATTAATAGAGTGTACAGAGAGCTAAATAAGTGTAAAATGAAGGTGTAAGTTAAAATGAATGACGGGATGGCTTTACACGTTATCGTATAAGATATTAAGATCATTGTAAAGTTTGCGCCTTAGACCTCGCACACACAAATGAATAAGTAATTATCTTATTATTTATAATTATATTATTTTTTTAAATGTTTTCTTTCCATAAATTTACTCCAGCTATTACCATACCATTATTAAGATGGTTACGATGATTTTCATGGCTTGTCCACAACAACTTACGAACTTAGTACTCATAAAAACGCGTTAACCCAATCGACCAACACATTTACTATCCACATCGTATTCTTGTTTTACTATTCCTCACTTCCTAAATAAATCTTATAACACACTTAAAGTATTTTTCAATTAAACGCATTTCTAAAAAAAATCTGATTGAAATTCAGTGTCTGTAGTTTATAAAATTATTCAAAATTTATTCGAAATTGTCGTTTTAAAAAAGTATAATGTAAAGTCCACCAAAACAATTTAATACTTTGTTACGATAAGAGCCTGTGTTGATATACAATCGTCTGTTTCTAAATAGTTAAGCCTTGTGAGAAGAAATCGAGCAAAAAAAATCAGGGCCACTTTTATAAATCATCAAATATTAATAACAAATTTTTAGTAAATTGAGTTATAGAACTATTTTGAGATACTATTTTATGTTCTTAAACTTAAAAGTAAAGAATCTACCTACCTACACACAAAATAGAGAAACTGGAATATAAGATAAGATAATTATTTATTTACAAGGAAAAAAAAACATTTTTTTTTTCAAAATTTTAAAAAGGGCGAAATAAACAAGATTAATTAAAGTTAAGAAATATATAATTTAAGAATAACATTACATTTCAATTAAGTATTAGACATACTTAGCAAGTGAATTCATAACAATTTAATCCCAAGCGTTTTTATCCTGACTATAATCTATGGCGTAATTGGCGTTTTACTGCAAACGTAAATTTAGCATTTGTATCTATACTATCTGGGAGGTCCAAGATATTTATTATCCCTTTGTTCTCCCTAAATCTCGTTGTCATTTATCAACGTTGGTGCTGACATTGCCTTGTGAACTTTTCACGAAAGTGTGCAGCGCATGGTTCGCGTTCCCATTTTTTACTGTTCCCGATATGGTTTCCAACATACTTTCTTTCCTATATACACTGAACTTATTCACTTACTCCCCTTTTTCATATTCGACTTTAACCTCATAAAGAGTCATTCCTTCACTGCTACTAAGTCCGTGGTTCGACTAGATTCGAAGAGTTCGCTGTGGCACATTTTTGAGTTTTGTCTTGTTTTGAATTAATCTTTATTTAGTTTTAGCTATGATCGGCCACATGCCTTATTGTTCTCAAAGTAAGAATTATTATTATTTATTGGTCACTTTCCATCACGTGACCCGTCTGCTTGTCTGCCCCCTCTAACATAAAAATATGAGATGAAATCAGATAAGCATCTTACTTCAATTCTGGTAATTTTATTAATCGATACACTAAGCTGATATTTTGTGACATTAATCAGCAACAGTCTTTAGTAGTGCGCTCCTGGACATAGGCCGCTCCTTAGAAAGGATATAGTCAATATTGCAATGGAATTAAACAAATAAAACCCAGTTTTTGTCTCTTCGCGGTCACCAAAATAGAGATATCAAAGAAAAGTCGAACGGTTGATATAACTTATATTATAACCACTATCAAAACCATTGACTTTTAACAAGTGCATTTTAAAATCAGTAATTTAATTTATAAAAATATTAAGGTTTAAAATTTACAGTACAAATAGTTAAAAAAACATGTTTAATTATCTTGTGACATATTTAAATTTAACGTTTAACTACATTGGTCTATATTGTGTGTCGTGAGGTCAATATACATTCACTAATTATAATGATTATATTGCACGTTACAATTTTCAAAATAAATATTGGATGTAATAAACAATTAAAACTTGAAAGTCATTAAAGAAATCTTAAAAATCGTTATAAAATTTGTGGAAAATTAATCATACTTACTTAAGTTTGTCATGATAATAAGGTATGTCGATTGATTTTGTTTTCACAATTCCAAAGTCATATAACCGAAACAAATGATGAAATGATGTTTACAGTAAAAGAACTATGAACAAGTGTACTGTAACTCACTGCTAGCATTACACTACCAGTAGGCGAGGTACTGCTACTACGTTGTATTTAAAAATAATAAACTAGTATATGCCAGTGACTCTTTATTTATGTGAACTGATGTATGCTACCTTGAATAATAAAAAAATAGCGAATGGAATTAATCGCGTCTATGGATCCGTATAATTATCCGTACTTGGAAACATTGGCGACAGAGACTTTGGATGAAAGAATATTATTGTTTTTAAAGTCACAAAACATTGAAAAGTACAAGTTTGTTAATACCTTTTTAATCAGTCTTAACAAAAAAATTGTTTGTATTTATTTTATTATTGGTTTACTTACGCTTTTTGCATAAAAATGTAGTTGTAGTAATAAAAGAGGTATAATATAAGTGTCAGTTTATCTGTATCTAGCTTACTGGTCATACATTGACTGCCTACCATGATAACCTGGCATTTTATATAGTTCACAAAAATCAAACCTGGCAGACCAGCTGCTGATGGTCTTCAGATCGCAGGTTAATCGTAGTAATAGCCTGTTATTATTTCTAGCTGGTAGCATGGTAGTAAAGTTGCATGTCATCGGCATAAATATTATACACACTTCAGTGTGCGTATGATTGATGACTCTGAGTGATGAAGTTGACAAACATAGATAACAACGAAGAGAGAATATCACTTTTGGGAAACCAGAATCAAGATCACACCATCTTAAGGTGGATTAATCGACACGAATGGTCTGCTGTCATATCATAGCATCATACTTTGCAATAGCTCTTCACTAAATGTATCCACATTTTATAACATCATTTAAAATTATTAGAGATCACCTGGCGGTCGAATTTCAGCCATTTTGAATGGCCTTTTTTATTTAATCTACCGGTGTAATATAAACCGTCATTGTATGGTACTTCTAACTTTATAGCATTTTTTTTTAATTATGGCTTTGTGCGCTTTTTCTACATATAAACATAAATGTTCCAAATATCATTTGCTCCCAATCACCATATTTGGTTTGTATACAAACATTATATATACCATATTTGTTTTCTTCATGTATTAATAAATAGATATTAAAAGTAACTCATTTAATACTAAAAAAATACTGCTAAAATAATTATTATATTATACATAAATGCCATAAAGCATAACATCATTAGTGTTTAAATCAATGTCTGTGTGTTTTTTTTTAAATAATGCTAAAGTAATTTTTTGTCACATCACCAATGATTTAGGTACGATTAGTCGGCTAATTGATTTTTCTTCCTTTTATTTCACGATTTGGTACGAATAGCAAGATGCGTAGATATGTATAGAGCTGAGATCTTTAGTTTATTTATTAAATAACGAGACATCCACATTCATGACATTAAAATTATTAGCACGTTACTTACGTTTTAATTAATCATTGACTTAGAAATCTACTTGAATTAAAATGATTATGTTCAACCATTATGTTCCTTATTTGGTCTCGTTGTCGACAAAGCTAACCACGCATTATATTTATTTATTTACACTTGCTATATATGTATTGCATAGGGCAGACTTAATGCAGTAGGCATTTCTTTTGTAGTCAAACTTTGACTGTAGCAGAGCTGTGTGTGGCAGGCGTATATTTTAAACGAATTAGAATATAGGTACACATAATCTATAAATACTAAAGTACAAATATGAAGTACATATATACATGTACATAAATAATGAATACACTCTTAAAATATGTAGATGACTCCGTCAACAACTCTATAGAACTTGTGAGCTTTAAGTTTAAAAGTGAACATTTTAGTACGTAGACATGCTGATTCCGAGTCATACAGGGTATAAGGGATTACTTTTGAGTAGCAATTTATTGGAATTTTCTGGCAGGTATTTTACGTTTATGCAATCAGCTGTCAAAGGTTAAGGACATTCCCCGAAGGAATCGCACAAAAGTAATCACTACATTTGTATTCCCTGCAAACAGTCTACGCACACTAACACAAGTGGGCGGCCGGAGGGGGGCCGGCTGTTTGATTAATTGCATTGCAGTTTTTGACCGTATGAGGTATTTATCTAATTTTACTGGTAAAATATTCTGTTTGCTCTTAACTAATTATAAAAAAATATGGCAAATTATAAAAAAAATATAGTTTACCATTTTTTGGGTTAAAAGTGATGAAAAACAATATCACAATGATTTGAATTTTCAAGTCAGCATGGTCTGAATACACTATTTCAGTATTCTTTACGACGTCCGTTCCTGTATATATAATAGGTTATTTATATATATAGTTATATAATAAAAAAACACTACATTCCTCTCCCACTACTATTACTGATACTATCAAGTTTTGCTGACTCTACAATTTTTTTTGTGAATTTTTGAAATATTTTAATAGTTACTCTGCTATTAAATGCAGAGATAAATCCAAAAAATCAAGGAACCAAAAAATCTGCCACCCCGGTCTTGATTTATAAATAGTGTAACCAATCCAACTTTGCGTTACATGTTAAAATTTACTCTCAACCATTAAAATTATTACCTATACTGAAACTTTAAGTACTGTCGGCTAAATGGACGTAGCCACGGTGGGAGTGTATTTTAAACTACACCACTGAACCATACCACTGGTGTTTCGTTTACAATTTTTTTTTTGGTAACGAGAACGCACCAAGTACTAACACAAAAATTATGCATTTATGGATATCAATTATTTTTCATTCGTAAGAGCACGACCATGACATTTTAAAAAGGCTTGCCAGAAGTTGCTTTAAAGATAGCAGATGGAGTGGAACAAAGATGCGCTGAAATAATGAATAGTTATTGGATAATATCGGATCAAGTTTTTAAATTAATCTTTATAAAATACCAATAATAATTATTATTCTCATTAATCTTGCCAATAAGTTAACAGCAAAACAAACCCATGAGGAGCTTCCGCTTTTCACTAAGTATCAAACTATCTGCTATGAGTCGGAGGCAAATGCTCACAATCTGGCGCCTGCTAATGGCCCGGTATGAACATTAGCCTTGATTAACTGACTAGTAACAAGATTCCTACTAGGGTAACAACATCTTAAGTAACAGGTTAATATAGAACTAGATACAATTTTACAACTTAGTCGTTATTTGCTCTGCTCTTCAATAAAATAAGTCTTATAGAATTTATGACATGTATTCGGTTTGTTGGTAACATAATGCCAAACTATTTAAACAGTTTTATTTAAAGGGATTTATCGATTTTCAGCATTATAGAAGGATGTAAAAAATGATTATTATTTTAGAAGAGTACAAGCTTAAATTATAAGTTAAATAAACTATTAAAATGACTATTTAAGTCAAAAATGCTTACAACGCGTTGCAACGACAAAAGGGCTGATTGTCTTCGAGCGGCTGAACAGATATTCTTGAATTAGGTATAGTTAGAAACATTTTTCATTTTCCATTCTATATTTGGCTTTAGTCATATTCTATACTTGATTCCTTTATCAATATTACATTTGTCTTTCAAAAAAACAGAAAAATGTTCAAAAATCGAAACTTAATATACAACTTCACTGCCACCAAGCAGGTGACGAAACATTCTCCCTCAATTCCACCGGCATGTCGTAATCCCGTAAGGATTATGGTGGTATTTTTTTGATTTTGATATAGAGTCCTAGTAGAGCCACCCTAGGCCCCATTCAAACCCCTGTGTTCTAGTGCGTGGCCAAACAAGGAAGTGTAGTTCAGTCACAAAGACAGACTCAGTACTAGCGGAACCCTCGAATGGGTACAAATTTACGTTTGCCCGTGTATTGGAGGATTATAGCACGGATCGACGTTCTTTATAAATGTTCTTCCCTTGGGGACAAACAAATCTCGTTACTTTTTACTTTTTATATTTTATCTTATCTAGGGTGTATTTTAAAGCATGATCTGTTATGAGCCTGTAGACCCAGGTGAATACCCGTGAATTAAGCAATCTAGTAAATAAATGTATCATAGCAATGCTGATGTTTTGTAATTTTATATACTTCAATGCATATTCACAATCTAATTACTCAACCTCGCTTGAACTTTGCCATTGATATAAATTCTTTGTTTGTTTCTAAGCAAATTTAATTATTTTAGGTATATAAAAGTATTTGCATATTAAATTAATAATAATTTACAATGTACATATAAAGGTCGCAAAGGTCTTAAGCGCTGTACATCACCATGAGTTCTTCACTATTTTAGTGCCGATAACAGCTCTGAGTCACCACGGAATCGCCAACCTTGACAATATCATCAAGAAGGCCTGTTCAATAACAAGTTCCACTAAAGACTTAAACTAACTAATCAATCAAAAAGTATAGTTCACATCACACCTATGCATCCTCTTAAATAAATAACGCACTTATTATATTTACAGTAAAAATCTATCTTACCCAAAGGTAGGATGGGCAACTTTGTATATTAGTAATGGAAATAGGAAAACGCAAGTGCTACTTATAATACACTGTTTTTGTAGTATGTAGGACACATATTACAAAAAACATATTGCTAGTTTAAATATTATTTTAGACGAAGCTTTCACTAATTCAAGAATTTCAAAGTGATTACTCCCATCCTCATCACCTAACAACGGACATCCTGTTCAATAAGTGTAAGTAATTAAAATAAAATTAACTGATATTTGATAGCCGGTCACTTGACGAACATGCATCATTTTTGCCTTGAGTTAAATATCCGTCCGTGTAGGCTGCAATGGAATTTATTAGAACTAACTATCAGTTACTATTCCCACACTCACGTACTTTAAAGAAATATGAAAGAAATAAGCGTGTATTCCTGTGTAGGAAGACTAAGGTGAAAAATACAATTAAGTAGCAAAACCATAAACTACTAGCTGTAGCTTCGCTGTGACACATTTGGTTGCATAGATGAGAAATGAGCAAA